GGACTCATGACTGCCATCAACTGTTGGTTAAAGAGACTGGAGTTTGCAAAGATCTTAACGACATCCTGCTGGCTGGGGAGATGATGACCAGTTCACTGCCAGGATCAGTTACATTATAAAAGGTAAAGAAAGGACTGGGGGCGGTGGTACTGCTCGACGAAGAGAAGTCCATAAACATTAACAGGCAACAGGTATGCTTTTTCAACTGTTCATGTGCATGGGACTGTCTCAACCATGTGGCTAAAAAAAATTACTGAAGAAAATTTTCTGAAGATTCAAAATACCTAAGGTAGTGAAATCAGACAATGGTCCAGGTTTTGTGACCCAGGTAAGTAAATCACTGGCCAAGATACTGGGGATTGATTAAAATTACATTGTGCATACAAAACCAACAATTCATGTAGAAAGTATAAATAAAACCATTGAGGAGACCTTCACTAAATTGACTGTGGAGACTGGCGCTAATGATCAGATAGCTCTCCTACCCTTTGTGCTTTTCAGGTTTAAAAACACCCCTGGACCGTTTGGGCTGAGCCCCTGTAAATGGCTCTTTGGTGGGCTCCCTCCACTGGTGGAAATTACCTCTGTACATAGTGCTGATGTGCTGTTTTCTTAAGCCTCTGTTTGCTAGGCTTAAGGTGCTCCAGTGGGTGAGACAGTGAGCAAGAAAGCAGCCCTGAGAGACCTACGTGGTGGGAGACGTGGAAGTTTCACATTACTTCCAAGTTGGAGATCGAGATTTCATTAGATGTCACTGCACAGAAACCTTAAGATTCGGAGGGAGGGAGGGAAGGAGGAAGGAAGGGAAAGGGAACTGGGATCGACATGTATAATAATAAATTACAAAAAAAATATGCTTTGACTCAAAACATTAAGTTCAAGGACAAGTTACTGGGGAAAAGGATATCTATTCTATTTTTTTTTCCACAGAAAACGAAAAGCTGTGGATTTCTTCCATACTAATGTGGTTTGATCAAGCCAGACCGCCTGAAACAGAGTACCAAATGAGCCTACATTCAAAACAGCTGGAAAAAGCAGCCTTGCAGAATACAGCCAGGATTTCAGCATCTTCTTAGAATCCCCCATGAGAGCGCCCCTTACCAGCAGGAAGTGGTTTGGAAAGAACGACGCCCAAATTCCCAAATATTGTCTATAGATGTTTGTTTTCATTTAAATGGACTTGGTTATAAAAAATAAATAATAAAAAAGACAGAAAAATACTGTTAAAAGTTTATGACTATCCTCTAAACTTAGTAAAGCAATGCAAGAGTTCTTATCAATGCTTTTAACAGTTTACTGCTAAGAGACAATGACTTTTCTCTAACTCAGTAAACCAAATCTCTGGTACACTGACCACAGGCAGGTGAAAATAAGTGTTTTTTTTTTTTTTTTTTTTTTTTTTTTTTTTTATCTCATGCTTCAAAGGAATTACTGGCATTTTATAATATGTCTGTAAATTGTGACCAAAGATATGTTCCTTGTAATTTCTGTATAAAAACCCAATACTCTAAAGTAAAAATGGCAGCAGTTGCAAAACACCTCCAGTGTGTTTGTTTCTGTCAAGACGAAGCCACTCCTGACATGGTCATCGAGTTTTGGTACCCATGGGGGCACATCACCCACTCTGTAGCATGAGGTGTTATTGGCCTGGTTGTACAGGAAATAAAAGCAGGAAGCAGATCAAAAAGTTGATAATTTGTCTTTCTCTCATCAGAAAGCTTGATCATTGCTCTATAACTGTAGGAGTTTTATTCCTGAACCTCAGAAAAACCACTTAACAAACACAAAATTATAAAAAGAGTATTCTTCATGGAAAGTTGAAAATTTAGAGAGGAATGGAGCTAGGAAGATTTTTGTGTATGACCACTACTGTTAGCCAGCACATCTTACTCAGTGAGCAGTTTTAAACAATCTGCATTATTCAAGAATTCAAGCTTTGTAAGACCCTCAGAATGAGGAGTCTCCCAGTTTCCATCGGTATCCCCAAGAACTCAATGTCCAGTCCAGTTGCTGCAACATGCAAGAGGCTTTAATGAACAGGAAACATTTGTGCAAAGGGGCCCCTCCAGCATGCAGACTAGTGAGAAGAAGCCATCTCCTCCCTCCACCCCTCCCCCGGCACAGGTGTTTTTAAAGGCAAATACCCCATGCTTAGGGAGGGGGGTGGGACCCTCTGTCCATTGAGTACATGACCCTTTTAGCTGGTCTCCCTATTAGGGTCAACAGACCTTAGGGCCTCAGGGTGTGCTAATTAATCTTGTCTGGGCAAACCGGAGGTGCAGTTATCTATTTGTTTCTTAAAGACCCTATTCAACACCTGCTGACTCACAAGAAAGGAGGGACAGTCTGAATTCTGGGTATCTTGTTTTCTCAGGGCCTTGCGAGGGTAAGTTAGCAGATTCCAAGGAACAGATATTGCTAGGGGTTAACTTTCCAGTTTAGTCTGTCCTTCATTTAAAATGGGGCATTTCTCTAACTTTACTTTTTTGTCTTTCACACCCTATATCTTATCTCTAGAGAGTAAAGTTCTAGTACTCTGATCTACAAAGCACCCCATCCAGAACCCGCACTTTCCCCACCCTGTGTCCTACTGCGCCCACTGCTCCACTGGTCTGGTTGAGCACTGGGACAGAGAGCGGGTCAAAAAAACACCTCCACCTCCTGAAAATTTCTTGGACCTGCTTTGAAAATACTGGACCCATCTATCCCGCTGGAGCAACCAGAGTGCCCGCCTGCCTGATGTTTATCCGTCATTACTGAGGCTCTGCCGGGGGAGAGACCTCCTAGAGTGACTGGAACAGAGTTACAGACATTGAGCACCTCTCACAACTCTGTCCCCAGGAACTCCTTTGCAAACACACGGTTCTGGGACGGTCCCCTGCACCGCTGACAAGCGGCTGCGATCTCAGGACTTCCGCCTTCCGGTCACGAACTAAAGCTTCTGGTTCGTGGCTGTCAGTGTCCCCGGAAGACACACATGGAAAACATGCTTCTAGTTCCACCCGGCCAAACTGACACACGATTTCCGCTTGTGAACCAAGGACGTCAGGCTTCCAGTCACTGACTTGAGCTTCACACAAAATGGTCCCCAGGAAAGGTTGCAACGAAGAGATGCACAACTTGAGTTCCACCCGTGAAGTAAACAGGACGGAGTGCCCTGCGGCCTGAGTTCCGCTTCTGGCACATTACTTCCGCTTACGGATGGTGCAACATGCGATTCCCTGCCCACCGGGCGGCTATTAAATCGGATCCGCTTTCGGCCCAGGAAGGGAATTGATCGCATCGGACATTGCGGGCCCGATAGGAAACGCCTTAAGGGACGGGACTAACAGGTCCAAGTGAACAGGTCAGAAACGGCTGATTCTGACCGCAAAAGAGGCAGCACAGAGCATATTCCCTGTCACTCATCGAGGCGGTAGGTGGGACTTCCGGGTGCGGCGAACAGGGCAGAAACAGAGATCGCAACCCTAGGTCCGTGCACCCCTCTGGTTTTCGCTGTTTCCTGTTTATGCCACGGTTGGCAGCAGGGTTCCTGTTGCCGGGGAAACCGGGGTGGGACTTCCGGCAACATGGTAAATCGGGGCAGGACTTCTGCATGGGAGCATTGACCAGGAATTAATGACTTAGAGAGGTTCACAGGGGATGGGCGGTGTCACGGGAGCCGTGATGTCAGAGGAGTTACAGGCGTGGCCTGTAGGGCACACAGCTGTCAATCAAACACCTGTCATTCACTCATTCATTCAGTCATTCACTCAGCCACTCATTCATTCAATCACTCATTCATTTAGTCATTCATTCATTTATTCAGTCATTAATTCATTTACTCAGTCATTCACTCATTCATTCAGTCATTCATTCAATCATTCATTCATGCAGTCATTCATTCATTGATTCAGTCATTAATTAGTTCATTCAGTCATTCATTCACTCATTCAGTCAAAGGTCAGTCATTCATGAAGTAATTCAGTCATTTCAGTCATTAGTTCATTGTACAATCATTCATTCATTCAATCACTTCCTGTGTGTGCTGGAGGCGGGACTTGCGGTCCCTGAGGCTAAGGCTCTGACATAGACAGGCAGTAGGCAGGATTTCCTGTTTCCTTTTACCTACACTGTAGCCCATGGCCATCTTGAACCCCCGCCATCTTTTTTGCGCACCCAGGGGCAGGAAATAAGTCCCATCATCTCAGAGGAACAGGAATTGGTTGTCTCAAGCCGGAAGTTGACAATTTCTGGTCCCTCCCAGAACGGAAGTGAACCCCCCAGACCGGAAATGTGCGATCCTTTCAACATGGAGCTGGTTCCACTCAACAGGCTGCTGCAGGGGAAGAGGGTGGTGCTGGCGAGCAGCTCCCCCAGGAGGCGGGACATCCTGTCCTCCATGGTGACTTCCAGGGGCAGGGCCTGCTCTGGGATTGTCAGCTGTGACTTCCAGGGGTGGGGCCTGCTGTTTCTGACAGCACACCCTCCCCCCAGGGACTGCAGTTCGAGGTCGTACCCTCCCACTTCCAGGAGTCCCTGGAGAAGGCGAGATTTCCGGCTCTGCCCGAATATGCCCGGGAGAAAGCAAAGCTGAAGGCTCTGGAGGTGGCATCGCGGCTGCGCAGGGTGAGGACGGCCCCATCCCTTCTGGTCAGGTGGTAGGCCACACCCCTTCCTGTCGATGCCCCGCCCACAAGCCTGCCCCGCCCTCTGCTCTGCAGGACCTGCACCCTCCTAATGTCATTATTGGAGCTGACACCATCTTGGTGAGTGAGGCCCCGCTCCTTCCGGCCCTGCCCACCCTGCCCCTCACTGACCCGGCCCCTTGGCGTCTGCTCCGCCCACTGCAGGCCGTGGATGGCTTCATCCTGGAGAAGCCAAAGGACAAGGATGATGCCTACAGGATGCTGTGCAGGTGGGCGGGGCCTGAAGGGGGCGGGGCAGACCCACCCAGGGCAGAGTGGGCGGGGCCTCTGCATGGAGCTCCAGCCTCTGCCCACCCCAGCCCCGCCCCTTGCCAGCCACGCCCTGTCCTGCCTTCCCTGGCCCCGCCCAGGCTGAGTGGCCAGCAGCACAGTGTCATCACCAGTGTGGCCATCTTGAGGCCACTGTGGCGGAGGCAGCTTCAGGAGCCAAGTTCCATATGCCCAGAGGCCCCAGAGGTGGAAGGGGCCCAGAAGCAGAAGTGAAATTGTCACTGTTCCACGAAGAGACCCATGTGACATTCTCGCGGCTATCGGAGCCACTGCTGTGCGAATACGTGGAGAGCGGGGAGCCTCTGTGAGTGGGTGCGGGGTGGGGTGGGTGGGGCCAGGAAACCTGGAAGTGAGGCCTGAAAAGGAAGAGCTGTCCCCGGCGGGCGTGGGTGTGGCTGAGCATGGCACCTGGTGTGACCTCGTCCTTGCCTTGCACCCAGAGACAAGTCTGGCACCTACGGGCTTCAGGCGCGAGGCGGTGCCCTAGCAGAGCGCGTGGAAGGGGATTTCTTCAATACTGTGGGGTTTCCACTCAACCGCTGCATGCGTGAGCTGGCTGCCATCTTCCCGGATGTGGGACCACACGTCCCTGTCAGCCAGCGTCCGGCCACACCCCAATAATGAGGATTGTAGATGGAGAATGAGTATGTGACTGTCCGGGCGGGTATTCTGGTGAGAGAGTTACTGAAGGGGTGGGACTTCTGGTGAGTTTGTGAAGCAGTGACCCATTTCCCATGATGCCCTTGGTGCATTGTGTTTGATTGACAGAGCAAGCTTCCCTCAAGTGCATCACTTCCCAGTGCTAGGACACAGGACATGGGGTGAGGTGTGTGGAGGCAGGGTTAGGGGACAGGCCCACAGAGGGGAGTACACCTAAACCCGCCCCTGTGGCCCCGCCCCTCCTGATGTCCCGCCCTCACCATCTCCATGGGCCCTGCCCTTGCCCTCACTGGGTCCTGCATGAGCAGCTTCACCATCAGATGCCTGTGATGGACATTTGACATCAGGAGCAGGGTCAGGGGAGGCCCCACCCCCTGCCTCACTCTGATTTGCATATTCAAGAGCTGCCTGGAGACTCAGAAGACATCAAGTACAGAAACTGCTGGGGTTAATTTGCATGGCCACACCTCCAAATGACCTAACCTGCATGTATTTGCAGGTCAAAGTCCCAAACAGATGGGAATACTTGCATTCATTTGCATAGCAAAAGCATGCAAAGCAGCACAAATTTGCATATTAAAGTATATTTCCGAAACTGGGGTTTGCTCATTTACATACTCAAATGTGAAGCCCCAATCAGACTTCCAGATTTCCAGGCACTGTGCTTATTTGCATAATCAAAATTACTAGTGCATCCTTTACATAACAGTTTAGTAGCCTCATTTGCATATTTAAATGAGTGGCAGGTTTTTACTGCTCAGCATCAGGCCCCACCCCTTCAGCACTACCCTAGCTCACCTGTCCCCTACCCCGAGGTCACAGTGTCCAAGGTCACAATCAGTGACCCTCTCCAGGCCCTGCCCTCAACCACACCAGGCCCTTCCCCACTTTCTCTCCTAGGGTCCCCGAGGGCAGGGCCGGGGTCTGGGTATTACCTATGGTGCAGACAGGACTTGGTCCTGGCAGTGACATCACAGGAAATTGTGACTGTGAGCAGGAACTGCCCTCCTTCCCTACCCTCACCATCTCCACCCCCAGCTGGGCATGGCAGGAGTCTCCTACCAAACTCTTAGGTTACCAAGCAGCAATGCTAGGACCCAGAGGGCAGTGGCCATGGTGAGCAGGTTATGAGAGTAAAAACCCTGAGGATGATGAGTGTGGCTCCTGTGACATCACAGAGCTCACCCCTCCAGGCCCTTGTAATGCCAGTCACCGCATACCCTGCCCCTCCAGCTGTCAATCACTACAGACCCCACTTCCTGCCTCTGGGCCATGAGGTCTGCTGAGGGTGTGATCTACAGGCTGACTGGGCGGGGACATGTCAGCTATCTTTATAAAGGTAGAGGGGCAGGCTGCAAGCCAAGGGCTGGATTTCCTGGCAAGGGAAACCTGGCAGTAGAGACTCAGGTCAATCATCAAGGGTGGGGCATGACTTCTGCTCGCAGATCGCAGCCAAGGCCATCAGGAACTTTTGTAACTGCTGTGGCTGGGACTGCATTTCCCAGCATCCTATGCGGCCGCTTACTGCTTCGCTGCCCAGAGACTTCTGGGTTTGGATGTTCATGTCCAGGACTGCATTTCCTAGCATCCTGTGCAGTCGATTCCTGCCTTTATGCCCAGGGATTTCCGGTTTTCATCTGTACCGGCCAGGGACTGTAGTTCCCAACATGCTCTGCGGTGGCTTTCTGTTTCTCAGCAATGAAACTTCCAGTTTGTAGTTTTTGGAGGCCCAGGACTCCATTTCCCAGCATTCTCTGTGGCCACTTCCTGCTTCCCTGCCCAGGGACTTCTTATTTTCATCTTTGGCAGCCAAGGACTATATTTCCCAGCATGATTTGTGTCCGCTTTTCTATGAATGGACTTCCCGTTAAATACTTTGGGGTCCAGAACTGCACTTCCCAGCATGCTGTGTGGCTGCTTCTTTCTTTTCTCCCCTTGACATTCTCTTCTGGACTTCAAGGCCCCTAACTACAGTTCCCAGCATGTGCTGGGCTTGTTTTGATCTTTTCAGTTCCTAAACTTCTTCTGGTCTCTGAGGCTCCAGGACTCCATTTCCCAGCTTCCTGTGGTGCCGCGTCCTGTTTTTCAGTCCTGAAATTCCACCATTTAAAGGCACATAATAATTTAGAAATATTTGAGACTTAGAACAGTTGAATTTAAGTTGTATGAAGTTAGCTTACATTTACATAAAGTTAAGTTGAAATCGAATGTACAGATATATTATTCAGGACTGGGTAAATTGAGAAGGACAAGAGTGTGAAGCTATCTATGTATAACATAATCAGAGAAAAAAGATATTACAGACAAAGAATAAAAGGCAAACGGTAAATGACTTACAGGTTCTGTTGGCGGCAGAAGCTGGCTAGACTCTTTCTGCCTAGATAGCTGATGTAGCAGAAAGAAGAACCATGGTGGGTAAAGCTAGGCCACATGGTCAAGATGGTGGCTGCCATAAACATATTCCCAACAGCTGAAAGAAATCGTAAAGTTTTGAGATATAATTTTGTCTTGAGCAGATGCTGCCTCAGCCCAGCCCACCATGCTGAGACAGGTTGCAGCTGGGGCAGGCAGGAGAATTTGAGCGTGCCGGGAAGAGAACCGAAACAAGTTTAGGGAAAGAGATTGTTTAGCAGAGATATAAAAAAAAAACGCCTTCCATCTATCTGTTCCCTGGCAGTAATTTGAAAGATCCCATAAAATATCGGGATCTAGAGAGCTGTTACGTGGCCAATTTGAATTATTTTCTAGGGGATATCTAGGCTACTTTTCAGTACAAAGGTAAATAAGTCTGGGTGACTTTACAAGTGGCATTAAGTGAAAGGGTTTTAAATTTTCTATCAGGCATCCCAGTGGAGTGGTGGGGGATATTTCCTTGGTCGGTTTATTCCCCATGGGTGGAGTGAAAGTGACCATGCAGTCTTGGAACTCATCAGCCCAAGAGTGTGGCCACACGATTTGCAAGAATGGCAGAGCGTTATTCGAAGCTCGTTAGCCCGAAAACGTTGCCAGGACCAACAGAGGCCGGAAATACTCAGCAGTCTGAGAGCAGAGCCGATATACCACACTGGGCTGTATGTCTTCCACCCATGGAATGTACCTGACCTTAAGGAATTGGGTTAAAATGTAAAAGGGTACCTTACCTAATTGAAGCCTGTGTGGGGTGGTATTTCCAGTGAACGGGGGGGGGGGGGATGGTGGTGGGAACGCTGGTATCTGAAACAAAATCCTGAGTGTTTCTGGCTGGCCGCCCACCAGCAGACAGCTGTCAGTGACCCTCACGTAGAGTCTGCCTGGGTTTCGGCACCAATGTTGTTCTTTTGCTGTGCAGCTAATGCCTAAGAAACACAAACGCGAGACTCAGGGCCCACGTGGAGATTGTTGAGAGAAGGGAGAGAAAGAGGGGGTAGCTGGTGGCCAACTGAAAGCAGGAGAGAAAGAGGGGGGTGTGGGGCACTTGCTTTAAAAGGGGAGGCTTGCACATGTGTAACTGAGTCCTCTGGCAGCCAGGTAAACCTTGAGCCTTCAGGTAAAGCTGATGTAACAATGACATGGCCATGAGGGTCCCGCCCATCATCAGGGTGGGGGGGGTCAAATGGCTGCTAGTTCCTAACAATCAGATTACTAAGCGGAGTCACTATTTAGCTACACATGTAGTTAAGTGTAAGCCACTAGTTAGCCACAAACTAACCCACTAGTTAGCCACACATACTAGCTCACTAGTACCCACACACACCATGCCACTTGTTAGCCACATACTTAACTCACTATTTAGCCACACATATGAAGTCACTAGTTAGACAAACACCTAAATCAATAGTCAGCCCCACACCTTTGTCACTAGTTAGCCACAAAAACTAAGCCACAAGTCCATCACACAAATAAAGCAGTACTTAGCCCCACACACTAAGACAGTAGTTAATCATACACCTAAGTTACTATTTAGCTACATGCCTAAGCAGTAATTAACCACATTGCCTAAGTCACTAGTTAGCCACAAAGCTAGGTTACTAGTTAGCCACAGTCTCTATATCTCTAGTTAGTTACACACAATATATCACTACTTACCCACCCATACTAAGTCACTAGTCAGCCACACATCTAATTTACTAGCTAGTCACAAACACCAAGAAAATAGTCAGCCACACACACACTGAGATAGTAGTTAGCCATGCACCTATGTATTTCTATGTATTTAGTCAACTACACACCTAAGTCACTAGTTAGCTACCAACACTAGGTCACTAGTTATCCACACACATTAAATCAGTAGTTAGACACACACTATGGCACTAGTTAGACACATACTAAGTCTGTCTAAAAGAAAAACAGCTCACACTAAGGTGGTCCCAGGACATGGGAATCAGGCCTTTATTCCCAGCAGCAGGCATTTGGAGATAGGAGTGACATGGCTGGACAGAGAGAGGAAGATAAGGTAGAGGAGCAAGTAGAGCATGCTGTGAGATGATTTTGTTTGAGAAGTTAGTCTGAGGGATCGAAGAGATAGCAGTCAATCTGAGTAGGCAGTGTAAGGACAGGAACACATCGCTTGTCTGAGAATAGGTAGAGATAACAACTCTAGTAGCCAGATGCTCTGAATCTGTGATCCTTCAATTTTCACCTTCCCCTCCCTGTCAGATTACTGTGAGTTTTTATTATTAAGATCTATTAGAACTTGTGCTGGAAGTGATGTTCTCTCTGTGGAGGTGTGATATTTCAAAGTCAATAGAGGTAAAAATTTTAAATTATTAAAATATTAACTTTATTTTTTTTTGAAAATTACATTGGTATCTTTTTAATGTTTTTAATTTGTAAAATTTTTTTTATTATACTTATCAAACCAGTTCCCTCCAACTTACTCCCACCCTCCTTCCCGTCCCAACTTCCCAGGCCCCCAGCCACTCTCTCCTCCCATCCAACCAACACTATACACGTAGGTGGATGCCTTCCAGGAGGGGTCATCTAAATCCTTCAAGTCATTTTAAGTAGACACTAAAATGTCTCTCCTGTCTCAGGGTTAATGGAGTATCCCTCCATGGGGATTTTCCCCCAATGTCCTTTTTGCAACAGTGATAATTCC